GACTCTGAGGATCCCCCCGTCGTCGTCGACTTGCTTGCAGAGGTCCCCTTGCTTGTTCGGCTCCGCCGCCGCGATGTCGGCGCACGTCGTGCCCTTTTTGCTCTCCCAGGACGCGTCGTTCTCGCAGGTCTCGCCGCCGCCGCCCGCGCCGCCGCCCGCGCCGCCGCCCGCGCCGCCGCCCGCGCCGTCGCCGCAGTTGCCGCAGGCCTCGGGGCACTTCTGCCCGCCTTTCGCGCCGTCGTCGTCGACTTGCTTGCAGAGGTCCCCTCGCTTGTTCGGCTTCGCCGCCGCGATGTCGGCGCACTTCGTGCCCTTTTTGCTCTCCCAGGACGCGTCGTCGCCGCATTCTTCAAGCCGGCGCGACGCCTACGAAGGTGTTGGTGGGCGGGGGGTCGGGGGGATGCCCCCCCGGCGGGCCCCGGCGCGCCCGGTGCGCGGGGGGACTGTTTCGGTCGGGGGAAAGAGAATCACGCACCACTGAGACGGTGGTGGCTCCTTGGGTGTGTTGAGCGATGAGGAGGAGCGCGGCGCACATGGCGGCCTTGGGAAGCGCGTGGGGGGCCTTCATCTTGCGGGCCGCTTGTCGAGTCTGAGCGAAGACGTCCCTCGATCAGGGGGGGGTTTGCTCCGTAGTGGCGCCCCGGCCGACCCCTCCAGCGCAGCGACGCGGTACTCGAAAGTCACGATCTTGAGCGCGATCGAACCTTCATAGTACCGTCGACTCGGAAACCAAGGGGCACGTCCAACACCATCGATGGTGGCGAGATCGGCTGTGCCGGATTTGTCCGTAGGAGCGCGGTGGACGAGCGAGGCCCGTAGGGTGGATTTTGGACCGACACCGAAACGGCGTCTCCGGCACTCACCAACCGTCCAGGGCGACGCCAGGGGTCATGGGGCGTCGCCCCGACCACAAAAAGCGACCGTTCTGCACCTATACGCAGCGCATGGCTGGCGCGTATACGCGCGTATTCGTACGTAGGCGGTCCTTTTTCGAGGATATTGTGCCGAGATCGTCGAGTTAGAAAGAGCTTGCTTCACGCGAGCGTAGCCACCGGACCTCTCCCGGCGCATGCAAAAAAGAGTGACTTTAGACGCCGCCGTCGCGCGACGGCGCCGACCTTGCCGGAGCAACCCCCCCCATCTCGATCTCGGGCTTCGCGGCTACAACATGTTGGATACGAGCTTCAGTGAAGCGGGGCCGCGCTCGGGGTGCGCCAATTGAGTACGCGCCGGCTCGAGTACGCGCCGCTCGAGTACGCGCCGGCCCGAGTACGCGCCGGCTCGAGTCCGCGCGGCACGACGCGCGGCCGCGCGAGTTCGCGCTCGCCGTCGACGCGCGCCGGTCTCGCCGGTGGTCCGCTCCCGAGTCGGATCCGCAGGCGCTATTTGCGATTACGGGGGGAGAACTACCCCGGCAGGTAGATGAGGCGGGGAGGGCATACAGAACCCGGCAGCGTGGGCGGGGGAGCGTTGACTCGTCTGGCATTGCTTGGGCGGGGGAATCTTGATTTGGACGACGGCGCTCGGGCGCCGGTCGTGGCGTGCACGCGCCCCTTCACGAGCGGCAGTTGCAGCAGGTCACGGGGCAGGCGTCGCGCGCGCGGACGCCGCCGACGCCGCGCTTGCTGCAGAGCGTCGCCGTGTCCTCGCTGATGTCCGCGCAGTTCTTCCCGCCCTCGAAACGCCACGACGTCGAGTCGGCGCAGCCCGCGAGCGGCTCGCAGTCCGGCGCTTCCTCCGGGTCGTCGTCGTCGGCGACCGCGTCGTCGTCGTCGTCGGCGGCGGCCTCGTCGTCGTCGTCGTCGTTCTTGTCCCAGGACGAGCTCGGCGCGAACGTCGGCCGGGGCGTCGGCCGGGGCGTCGGCCGGGGCGTCGGCCGGGGCGTCGGCCGGGGCGTCGGCCGGGGCGTCGGCCGGGGCGTCGGCTCGGGCGTCGGCCGGGGCGTGGGCGCGGCCGTCGGCTTGGGCGTCGGCGCGGCCGTCGTCGTCGTGGGCGGGGGCGTCGTGATGGGCGGCACCTCCTCCTCGATGGCGTCGCCGTCACCACTCGTGCACCCGTCCCACTTTGACCATGTGCAGCCCTTCTTCTCACACTTCTTCTCCTTCGTGTAGTCTGCGCACGTCGCGGCCTCGTCGCCGCCTCCGTTCCCGCCGCCCGTTTCCTCGCAGCCGCGCTTCTTCGACCACTTGCAACGAGGTAGCTGGCAGTGCTTCTTCTTCCGGTCGGCGCACGTCCCGGCCGCCTCGTCCTGGCATCCGTCCTTCTTGGACCAGGCGCAGCCATTCTTCTCACACTTCTTCTTCTTCTCGTGGTCGGCGCACGTCGCGGCTTCGTCGCCTTCTTTCCCGCCGTCCGTTTCCTTGCAGACGCGCTTCTTCGACGACCACTCGCATCCTTTCTTGTCACATTTCTTCTCCTTCTTGTGGTCGGCGCAGGTCTTCTTCGCGGCGAGGACTCGGCCGGCGAACGGGCGAGCGCGAGGTCGGTCGACGAGCGCGGCGAGGGAGCGGAGCGAGCCCTTGAGCTCGTGCTTGTCCGCGGCGGCGTGGCCGACCTCGCCTGGGCCGGCGCCGCGGAGCTTGCCCGTGGCGCCGGCGGCGACGGAGGCGATCAGGAGGAGGACGGCGCGGCGATTCATAGAGGATGAGTATTTCACGGCTTTTACCTGCTTTTACCTGGCACTGGCGTCGATTGGTGCGCGCACGAGTCGATGGGGTTGCCGTGGAGTTGTTTTTTGGCGATGGCCTTGCGGTCGACGGTCGCGTCGAGGGTGTGGTTTGCTTCTCGCTCAGCCGCCTGTGATTTTCCCGGAGCCGGCTCTTCGTTTCCTGTGAACGAGCCGGAGAGATGCCGGAGGCGTAGCCGGGCGACCAGCGGCACGGACTCCTACCGTATGCACCAGAAATGCGCTCGAGAGAGAGAGACGATGTCGTTCGAATGGCGGGTACTTAGGGGGTGGGGATGGGGGTTCGATGGGGGAGCACCCGGCTTGGGGGGGTGGGCGCTCCTCAGCAGCTTCCGCACGTGTCGGGGCAGAACGCGGCGACCGCCGCGACGCCGCAGTACTTCTTCGGCTCGTCGGGCAGGCACCGGCCGTTCGCCCAGCTGCACCCGCCGTCTGCCTTGCAGTCCTGTTTCGCGTGCCCCGCGCACATGTCGCAGGTGATGCGCAGGTTCTCGCAGCGACCTTTGCAGGTGTGGTCGATGTCGCCGTCGCAGCCGTCGTCGGCGGGCGCCCACGCGCAGTCGGCCTTGTCGTCGCACTTGCCCTGCTTCGCGACGGCCGCGCAGTTCGTGGAGATCTTGTCGACGTGGAAGGTGTCGTCGTCGAGGCAGAGGGCCGCCGGGCACGTCCCGCAGGCCACGGGGCACGCGACCGACGCCGCGACGCCGGCCGTGTCCATACGCGCGCAGTCTTCCTCGAAGTCCGCCCCGGGGCCGATGGACTCGCAGTGGAAGTTGGCGAAGTCGGCGGCCTCCCAGGCGAGCGCGCCGGAGCTCGGGGCGTCCGCGCACTCCGTGGAGGGCGCGGAGTGGAACGCGTCGCCCTCGACGAACGCGCCGGAGTCGGCCGCGGAGCTCTTCGCCTCCTCGAAGACCTCGAAGTCGTCCTCAGGCACGCTGTTGTAGTTGGCCTCGAGGTCCTTGGTCGTGAGGATGTCGGAGCCGCCGTCGCCGCCGTAGAGGACGTTGTAGGTGCCGACGAGGTAGACGTCGTCGTCGCCCGCGCCGCCGAAGACGTAGGTCTCGTCGACGTCGTCGAGCGCGATGGAGTCCGCGGCCTCGCCGCCCCAGACCGTGAGGGACGCGCCGTGGGTGATCTTGACGCTGTTGGGCCCGTCGGCCTCGTCGACGGCGTCCTTGGGGCCGCCGAGGATCTGCGAGTGCTTGACGTTCGCGGCGGTGATGCTGTCGGCGCCGAGGCCGCCCCAGACCTGGTTCTTCTCGCTGAACGCCGTCGCGCCCGGCGCGGGCGCGAGCTCGATGGCGTCGTCGCCGGCGCCGCCGAGGATGGTCACGACCTCGCCGACGGCGTAGATGGCGTCGTCGCCGGCGCCGCCGTAGAGCGAGACGGGCACGCGCGTCGCGCCGAGGTCCGCGCCGCTCTGGAGGCCGAAGATGACGTCGTCGCCGTCGCCGCCGTCGACGCGGCCGTACATGCCGCCGTCGTGGCCGCCGAGGATGATCGTGTCGTCGCCGGCGCCGCCGTCGACGCCCGCGTAGTCGCCCGTGACGAACGCGCAGTCGTCGTGCGGCGACAGCTCGAGCGTCTCGTAGTCGCGGTGCGGCAGTTGCCCGACGAAGCAGACGCACGCGGCCGCGCCGGAGAAGTCGTAGCCGTCGGCGGGCGACTTGGCGTCGCAGGCCTGGGGGCAGCAGGCCTCGCAGGTCGGGTTGTAGCGGTCGCAGACCGGCGGCGGCGCGGTCGGCGCGGCCGTCGTCGGCGCGGGCGTCGGCGCCGCGGACGTCGGCCGGGGCGTCGGCGCGGGCGTGGGCCGCGGCGTGGGCGCCGCGTTGGGCTGGGCCGTCGGCGCGACGACGGGCGCCGGCGAGGGCGCGGGCGTCGGGCCCGGCGTCGGGTCCGGCGCGTTCGTACTCTCGAAGCCGTCGTACGCGTTGTCCGCGAAATTGGCGAGGTGGAGCACATCACCAGCACCATCGCCACCGTAGAAGGCGTTGTAGGCGCCGGACTCGTGGTAGATGGCGTCGTCGCCGGCGCCGCCGTAGACCTCCGAGTCGGAGAGGTCGACGAGGTGCATGACGTCCGCGCCCGCGCCGCCGTGGACGTCGAGGTCGACGCCGGACGACACGTCGACGACGTTCGCGCCGTCGCCGGACCAGACCGTCGACCGGGCCACGGTGTCGAGCGTGATGTGGTCCGCGTCGGACGATGCGCCGGCCTTGTCGCCCCAGACGAAGTTGCCCGTCGACGGCGTCTGCGCGCCGGGCAGCTTCTCGACGACGATGACGTCCGCGCCCGCGCCGCCGTCGACCTGGAAGTAGGAGCCCTGCGCGCGGATCGCGTCGTCGCCCGCGCCGCCGAAGATCGCGCCGAACTGGTCGTAGCCGGCGCCGGGGACGGCCGCGCCGCCCGACCGGCTCCAGATGGCGTCGTCGCCGGCGCCGCCGTAGACCTTGCCGTAGGACCCGCCGTAGAGCTGGATGACGTCGTCGCCGGCGCCGCCGTCGACGACGGCGTAGTCGCCCGCGACGAAGGCGCAGTCGTCGAAGGCCGTGAGGGTCACGGGCGTGCGGTCCGCGTCGTAGGCGTCGCCCGCGAAGCAGACGCAGCGGTCGCGCGTCGAGAAGTCGAAGCCGTCCTGCGGCGACACCTCGTCGCACGCGAGCGGGCAGCAGCTCTCGCAGGTCGGGCTCGCGAGGTTGCAGCCGCCGACGTAGCGCGTCGTCGTCGTCGACGTGACGGGCGCGGGCGTCGGCGGCTCAAACGTCGGCCGGGGCGTCGGCGCGGGCACGGGGCCGAGCGGCGCCGTCGGCGCGGGCGTCGGCCACGCCGTCGGCCGCGGCGTCGGCTCGGGCGTCGCCTCGGGCGGCGCGCAGGCCGCGGGGTAGTAGCGCACGTGCTTCAGGGACAGCTCGCAGGCGCCGTCGGTCGCGCCCGTGACGACGTAGCGCGGCTCGGGGTCGGGCTCCTCGAAGGTGACGACGAGCGTCGCGTCCTTGACGTAGAGCTGGTGGCCGCCGCCGCCGCCGACGACGTACTTGGCCTGGATCGCGGAGCCGTCGTTCGTGAGGTCTTCGAGGTCGAGGTCGATGGTCTCCGTGACCCAGCTGTGGGGCGCCTTGCCGCTCTGCGCCTTCGTGACGCCCTGCCAGAGGCCGACGCGGCCCTTCTTGTTGCCCCAGCCCTGGTCCTTCCACGTGAGCGTGATCTCGGCCTTGGCCAGCTTCTGCGGGAAGGTCTTCGACTTGCCCCAGGCCTTCCAGGTCGACACGGACGAACTGTCCGAGATGTCGGGCATGGCGTAGGTCGCCGTGCCGTCGCCGGAGACGACCCAGTCGTCCGCGAGGCGCCGGCCGGCCTCCTTGAGCCAGCACGAGTGCTTGGCGTAGCCGTTGCCCTTGGCGACCTCCTGCGTGTGGACGTAGCAGCCCGCGTTCGACTGGCCCCAGATGACCTCGCAGCCCGTGAAGTCCGGCTCGTCGGCGCAGGCCAGCAGGCACTCAGCCTTCTTCTCGTCCGTGTCGTGGTCGCCGGACGCGAGCTTGACGACGCCCGAGTTCTGGTCCGTGCCGTCGCTCGTGACGCAGTAGCCCGCCTGCTCCTCGCCGAAGGCCGACGCGGAGTCGCCGGCGCCGGCGCCGCCGCAGTCCTCCGTGAGGCAGTCCTCGTCCGCGTCCTTCTCGGACCACGCCGCGACCGTGCCCGTCGCGCGGATTATCTCGCCGGCGGCGAGCGCGGGCACGACCAAATCGAGGAAGGAGCCGCCGCCCTCGGCCGCGAAGCCGAGCGCGACGGAGTGGGCGCACGTGCTCGTCGCCTCGAGCTCCATCGTCACCTCGTCGCCCGGCTTCGTCCAGTCGCCGAGGCCCGCGGTCTGCGCCAAGGGGTAGACGAGCTGGTGCGCCTTCCCGTCGACGGCCAACGTCCGCTGGGGCGGCACGCCCGCGTCGCTCCAGAGGTCCGGGCACGGCGTCGGGACGCCCGTCGGCATGGGCGTCGGAATGGGGTCCTTGTTCTCGCCCATCTCGAAGTACGCGTACTCGTTGCCCTCGCCGGCGACGTAGAGCGTGTCGAAGTTGCCGTAGCCGCCGTCGAGCACGTTGTGGTCGCCGACGGCGTAGACGTCGTCGTTGCCCGAGCCCGCGTAGACGAAGCCGTCGTGGAAGTCCTGGAACGTGAGGTGGTCGTCGCCGCCGCCGCCGCGGACCGTCGACCCGTAGGCGTCGTCGACGACGAGCGTGTCCTTGCCCTTGTCGCCGTTGAAGGCCGACGCCTTGACGTGGCCCGCCGTGACGACGTCGTCGCCGTCGCCGCCCCAGGCGTGGACGCGCTTGAGCTGCGACCCGTCGGCCGACCCGACGGTGATGTCGTCGTCGCCGTCGCCGCCCTTGGCGTGGACGAACGACTTCAGGACCTCGATCGCGTCGTCGCCCGCGCCGCCCTCGACGAGGACGTACTGGTCGTCGCCCTGGAGGACGTTCTCGCCCTTCTGGTTGACGACGATCCTGTCCTCGCCGGCGCCCCCGAAGGCCCGGGAGAGCTTGCCGCCGTAGAGGACGATGTCGTCGTTGCCGGCGCCGCCGTCGACCGTCGCGTAGTCGCCGGCGACGAAGAGGCAGTCGTCGCCGGGCGTGCCCGTGACGGTCTTGAAGGACGCGTCGCCGACGAAGCAGACGCAGGCGTCGCCGCCGCCGGCGGCGCCGGAGAAGTCGAGGTCGCCCGCGCCGGACACGTCCGCGCAGTTGCGCGCGCAGCAGTCGGCGCACGACGGCGCGTCGACGTCGCAGTCGCCCGTGAAGCGCGTGGGCCGCAGCGACGGCTCCGGCGTCGGCGTCGGCGCGGTCGTCGGGTCAAACGACGGCCGCGGCGTCGGCCGCGGCGTGGGCTCGGGCACGGGCACGCCCTCGGGCGGCGTGTGGAGCACCATGACGTACTTGCATGTCGACGGCTCGCTGGGCTCGAGGTAGACGGCCGCGCCCGTGTCGAGGTCGGCGACGATGTAGAACTGGCCCGTGCGCGGGCCGCCGATGGAGCCGCAGTGCGTGCCGCCCGTGAAGTGCTGGACGTTGACGTCGCCGTCCCACTCGCTCTTCTCGTAGGAGCCGATGTTGTAGTTGCCGCCGGGCGGGCCGGGGTCCGACCCGTCCGAGGGGCACGAGCCACCCCACTGGAGGATCTCGGCCGTGCCGCCGAGCGCGCCGACGCGCGCCGGGTCGTGGAACGGGTTCGGCCGCCAGCAGGTCGCGCCGCCGGCGACCTCGCAGCCGCCCAGCAGCTCGCAGCCGCCGGCGATGTCGCCGAGGTGGACGTAGCAGCCGCTGAGGTGGACCGGCGCCGTGACGACCTCGCAGCCCTTGGCCGGGGTCGCGTGGTCGTCGGGGTAGCGGAACGCGCAGAGCTCCGTGCACTCGGCGGCGTACGTCGCGGAGCCGTCGTAGGGCTTGAGCTTGTGCCGCGCCGCGTTCGCGGGCGCGCCGTCGTCCCCGGCGCAGCGGCCCGCTTGCTCGGCGAGCCAGAAGGACCCGGGGTCGTCGAAGCCCTCCTCGGCGAGCGCGCCCGCGTCCGACGCGAACGCGCCCGCGCCGTCGCACGCGCCGCAGGCCACGGGGCACGCGTCGCTCGCCGTCTCGCCGTCCACGGACTTGATCTTGTCCTCGCAGCGCTTCGCCGCCTTCTTGCCGACCCAAGCGCAGTTCTGCTTGTCGTTCTTTTTCTTGTGCCACGTCGTCGAGTCCGCGCACGCGGAGTCGAAGGAGCCGCCGTCGGCGCCCAAGGCGCCGCTCACGTCGGCGTCGTCGTCGAGTTCGACGACGAGCGTCGCGTCCTTGACGTAGAGCTGGTAGCCGCCGCCGCCGCCGACGACGTAGGTCGGCTGGAGCGGCTGCATGTCGTTGGGGATCTGGCCGACGGAGAGGTCGATGGTCTCCGTGACCCAGGCGTGGGACGCGAGGCCGGACGCGGCGCGGTCGTCGCCGCCGCCCTGCGCGAGGCCCACCCGGCCCTTCTTGTTGCCCCAGCCCTGGTCCTTCCACGTGAGCGTGATCTTGGCGGACTTGAGGGGCTTGTCGAAGGTCAGGGGGCAGCCCCAGGGCTGCCAGGCGGACGCGCTCGACGAATCGGAGACGTCGGCGAGCTCGGTGACGAGCGCCGACGCGGAGCCCGCGCACGCGTTCTTCGTCCAGCACTTGTGCTTGTCGACGCCGTTGCCCTTGGCGACCTCCTGCGTGTGGACGTAGCAGCCCTTGTTGTACTGGCCCCAGATGACCTCGCAGCCCGTGAAGCCCTCCGTCTGCGCGCAGAGCATCATGCACGCGCGCTTCTGCGCCTCGGTCTCGTGGTCGCCGGACGCGAGCTTCGTGACGCCGCCGTTCTGGTCGCCGCCGGACGCGGTGACGCAGTAGCCGTCCTCCTCGGCGTTGAAGTCGCCGCTGCCGTCGTAGGCGCCGCCGCCGTCGCCGCCGGCGCCGTCGAAGGGCTTGTCCTGCTTGTCCAGGTTCTCGCCGACGGTCGCCTTGAAGCAGTGGCCCGCGCCGGAGCCGAGGAACGACATGCCGGGGTAGTAGTCGATGTCGTCCGCGGGCGCCTCGTAGACCGTGGGCGCGGGCGTGGGCTGGGCCGTGGGGTCCGCCTCGTTGATCGACTCGACGTAGTCGACGACGTTGCCCGCGCCGTCGTACGTGAGCTTGTCGCCGTCGCCGGGGCCGCCGTCGATCGCGTTGTCGTCGCCGAGGACGTAGATGGCGTCGTTCCCGGCGCCGGCGTGGACGTGCGAGTCGGACACGGTCATGAGCGTGATGTCGTCGCCGCCGTCGCCGCCGTCGACCTGCACGCGGTACGCGTCGACGACGACGAGGTCGTCCGCGCCGTCGCCGCCGAAGACGAGCGTGTCCTTGACGTCCTCCGCGTCGACGGAGTCGTCGCCTTCGCCGCCCCAGATCTGGGACCCCTGGGACACGACCTTGCCGCCGGCCTTGCGGAGCTCGATGGCGTCGTTTCCGTCGCCGCCGCGGACCCGCGCGAAATCCGCGAAGACGCGGATCACGTCGTCGCCCGCGCCGCCGTCCGCGACCGAAAACAAATCGTCGCCCGCGGGCATGTACTTGCCCGACTGGCGCAGCGTGATGACGTCGCGGCCGTCGCCGCCGTAGGCGCGGCCGTACCTGCCGTCGAAGAGCGCGATGGTGTCGTGGCCCGCGCCGCCGTCGACCGTCGCGTAGTCGCCCGAGACGAACGCGCAGTCGGCCTGCGCCGTGAGCGTGACGCTGGCCTCCTCGGCGTCGCCGAAGAAGCAGACGCAGGACTCGCGGCCGCTGAAGTCGAAGCCGTCGTCCGGCGTGACGACGTCGCAGTCGTTCGGGCAGCAGTCCTCGCACGTCGGATTCGCGGGGTCGCACTTGTCCGTCTCCATCGTCGGCCGCGGCGCGGGCGACGGCGCGGGCGTGGGCTTGGGCGTGGGCTGGGGGGGCAGCGTCGTCGTACTCGGCGCCGGCGTCGCGGCGCTCGGCGCGGGCGTCGGGTCCCGGGACGGCGCGGGCGTCGGCGCGTCGAGCGCGCCCGCGTACCGCACGTCGGCAAAGTACGTCCGCGCGAGGACGCCCGGCGTCGGCGGCCCGCCGGAGACGCCGAGCGTGAGGGGCGCGGCGGCCCAGGTCGGGTCGAGGGGCACGGCGACCGTCGCCGTGCGGAGCGTGCCGCGGAGCGGCGCGGTGAAGGCCACGCGGAGCTCGCCGTCGCCCCACGTCGCCTCGACGGCGTTCCAGGCGTCGAGCGCCCAGGGCAGCCAGGCCTCGGCGTCGGACGGTGCGGCCCACCAGTCGCCGCCGCCCTCCGCGCAGGCGGCGAGGTCGAGCGCGCCCGCCGGGAGCACGCGCGCGGCGCCCTCGGACGCCCAGTCCGCGCCCGGCGCGACCCACGCGGCGACGACGCCGCCGAAGAGGCCCACGAGGATCGCGTCGTCGTCGGCCGTGGGCTGGACGGAGAAGGCGACGCCGCCGGGCACGGCCGGGTCGAGCCAGACGGGCGGGTCGACGTACTCGACGGTCGCGACGCGCGCGTCCTCGGAGTCCGCGAGCATCAACGTCTCCTTGCCGTCGTGGTTCTTGAAGGACTGGCTCGCCTCGCCGGCCGTGTCGCAGGCCTCGATCCAGTGGCCCGCGCCGAGCGTCGCCGCCTGCCAGTCCGGCGCCGCGGGCGCGTCGGGCCTGTCGACGGCGCCGTAGTACTCGAAGCCCCCGAAGTAGACGGGCCCGTCGACGCGCGAGACGCCGACGCCGAGCGCGCCGCCGTCGAAGGCGGCGTACTGGTCGATGGCGAAGGCGTCGCCGCCGCCGCTCCCGTCGGAGAGGCTCACGGTGACGCGCTGGTCGTCCCAGGTCACCTCGACGGAATTCCACGCGTCCGCGGCGTACGCGAAGTCCGACGCCTCGCAGCTGTTTGCGAGGACGGTCAGGTCGCCCGGGAGCGTGTCGCAGCCCGCCTGGCCGTCGACGCCCTGGGCGTAGTCGGGGCAGGCGTCCCACTGGAGCGCGTGGATCTCGCCGCGGTGCGCGGCCGTCTCCGCGACGCGGTTCCAGGACACGACCAGGTCGTCGAAGAGGCGCAGGAGGATCCAGTTTTCGGCCTTCTCGGACCGGAAGTCGAAGCGAATGCCGCCGGGCTGGGCGCTGTCGAACCAGAGGTCGCCGTGCTGCACCGTCGCGCCCGCCTCGCCCTTGGCGTCGAGGCGCATGAGGTTCTTCCGCCCCTTGTACGCGCGGCCGAACGCGAGCTCGGGCTCCTCGTCGCCGGAGCCGTCGCCCGCGCACGCGAGCTTGAACTTCTCGGCCCGGGGCGTGAGGCCCTGCCACGGGGACGTCGGGTTCGGCGTGGGCCGCGGCGTCGGCGGCGGGCCCTCGCCGTTGACGGTCTCAAAGTCCCAGTACTCGTTGTAGTCGCCGGGGTTGAAGAGGAGCACGTCGCCCTTGCCGTAGCCGCCGTCCATGACGTTGTACTTGCCGTAGACGCTGAGCACGTCGCTGCCGCCCATGGCCTCCACGTAGACGTCGTCGCCGACGATCGTGAACGCGTCGTCGCCGTCGCCGCCCTTGACGCGGAGCACCTGGCCCGTGGCCTCGACGACGTTGTCGCCGGAGCCCGTGACGACGTCCGCGTCGACGAGGTCCGTGAGCGCGAAGGCGTCGCCGGCGCCGTCGCCGCCGAAGACGACGTCGCCGCGCGTCGACTGCGCGCCCGCCGCGGGCGCGACCGAGATGACGTCGGCGCCCGCGCCGCCGCGGACCTCGACGAACTCCGCGCGGACGTCGAGGACGTCCGCGCCGCCGCCGCCGTGGACCTCGGCGCGGTAGGGCTCGCCGCCGATCTCCTCGCCGGACTGGAACATGCGCACCAAATCGTCGCCGTCGCCGCCGAAGACCTTGCCCTGCGTGCCGCCGGCGAGGAAGACCGTGTCGTCGCCCGCGCCCGCGTCGACCTGGGCGTAGGCGCCCGTGACGAAGGCGCAGTCGCCGAGGGCCGTGAGCTTCACGGCCGCGTCCGCGAGGTCGCCCGTGAAGCAGACGCACTCGTCGGACGCGGAGAAGTCGAGGCCGTCCGTCGCGTTCTTCTCCGCGCAGTCGTACTTGCAGCACGCGCCGCACGTCGGGGTCGCCTCGTCGCACGCGTCCGTCGCGCGCGTGCTCAGAGGGGGAAGGGTAGTCGTCACCGGCGCGTCGCACTCGCCGCACGCGACGGGGCACGCGTCCTTGCCCTTGGCCTTCTTGCCCTCGTGTTTGCCCTTGCCCTTCTTCTTGCAGAACTTCTTCTTCTTCTTCTGGTTCTGGGCCGCGAGCCAGTCGCAGTCCTGCGACGGGTCCTTCTTGTACCACGTCGTCGAGTCGACGCACGGCGCGTCGTAGCAGGCGTCGGCGCGGCACGCCGTCGGGCACGCCGCGTGGCCCGCCTCGCCCGTGTTGCCGACGCGCTCGCACTGGTTCCGGTGCGTCGCGAGCCACGCGCAGGTCCGGCTCGCCTTCTCCCAGAACCACTGCGGGTCGTCCTCGCAGTCGACGACGGGGCACCCGTTGGCCTCGCAGAGCGACGGGCACGCGTCCTGGACCCGGGTCACGCCGTCGTCGCCGACGCCGTTCTTCTTGCACCTCGAGCCCTTCTTCTTCGCGAGGTACTCCGCGCAGGTCTCGCCGTTCTTCGTCCACGTCGTCGAGTCCTCGCACGACTCCTCGCTCGGCTGCGCGCGCGCGACGGCGACGGCGAGCGCGACGAGGACCGCGCGCATCGTTCGGCTAATTCGGCGAAACGCCTGAAGACGGCGCTGTTTCGAGGGGGGGCG